TATACCTGCTAAAATTAAGGTCATTTCTCACCTTATATAGCCTATTAACATGAAGTCTACGCACCTATGTTTACACTCTTTTGTACATGCGTGGACAATTCTCGACGCAATGCAAATAACAAACACCAAAACAGATCGCCCTCAATTTAAATATTTAAACTTGAAGAGAAAGACTACATGTGAATTGAAATTTAACAGTTTTAATAGGAACAAATGATGATTACATAGTTTTATAAGAAAGTGTACCTTAAGTAATAAAATGATTATTGCTGGGTAAAAAATTGGTAATGAAAGCTGTTCCCTTTATTTGTTTATTAATTCATAATCATCTTATCCTCTATTAAATACTGCGAAAAAGTTTGGCGTTTATATATAAGGCCAAAAAAAAAAATATGTTGTGTTGCTCTCCGTGTCGGTCGGCATTTTTTTTTTTTTTTTTTTTTGAAATTGTGTTTAAGTACAAATTCCCGAAATTAACATTTAGAACATAAAATCTAAAACAGACATGTATTTTAAAAAAAAATCAAAATCGGGCCATAGATGCACGCGTAAAATAGAAGGCATAATTTTGAGAACCGAACGCGACGACGATATCAATATATACACACAACATCGGATCTCTCGCGCTGATCTGGCAAGCTGTCACGACCAGATCTTCCGGGCCTAACCTATTCTTTACTACTGTACAACTAGTGGTTGCTTGAATCAAAAATTGTATTCATTACCTTACGGTATATTGGACAATAAATAAAAACATGCTAAGGTCTAGCCATCGCTTTAAAACCGGTACATAGCTAGACATTTTCGGCTCCGTTACGGTTTTAGGCCTACCATAAACAAAATATTTTCCTCTTTTTTTTTTCTAGAAGTTTACTACGATTGTATTACATAGAGGGCGCTTTTTTGGATATTTTTCATAGCCACAGTATGGTTTTGCTCGTCCTGCCCGTGCGTGATCGTGTGGATCGGATACACATATTACTTTACGTTTCTAAGCCAAATAAATCTTTCTTTAAACTGATTTATTTTTGTTAAATTTATTTCACTATACACTTGGTTAGTATATTTACTCTGTCATTACTTTGAATAATTTTTGTTTGGCAAGCTTGCCATCGTTCTTAGGGTTTTCATAATAGGGACTGCAGTTTCAGACCTATCCTATTTCTGGTATTACTTTTTAAAAAAAATATTTAAAAAATCCGACCGACCGACCGGCGATCTCGATTTTTTCCATTTAGGCCTAAGGGCATCACAACAATTTTTTTTTTGGGGCCTAATGTAATAATTTAATGTGTGGGTAAGGCTTTACGTGAGGATAAAATTACTTCTTATACAGGTCTCCATCTAATTAAAGACCACTTTAGCGACTCAAGGTTTTCATGGTCTTTAGCAGTTTTTGTTCTATAATTACAAAAATAATCATTAAAAAGATAAAATTTCTTTGCATTTTTGAGCTATATTTATTTTAATATCCAATAATAATAATAATAATAATAATAATAATAATAATAATAATAATAATAATATGACTAAAGCGCCTAATAATGTATCCTTCACGCTTTGTACATTGTATAAGCTGAATGAATCAATAATTTAAAAAAAGAAGTCAAAGAAATAATTAGAAACGGGGCTACTCAGGTTACAAATAGTATAGCTCTCATATATGAATATATAACAGTATATTTCTAATTTATATTTTCCTGTCTTTCTAATGGATGGAGTCCACAGATATACTGTAATTTCAACTGTTCAATGTAGTTTAAGTTTATATTTTTGGTAATTTACATTACCTCCTTCTATTCAATTTTACTTTGTATTTTGTAATTTTAAGTTAATTATCTTTTCCTATATGTATTTTATTTTTGTATGTATTTGAATACACCATGCATTTAGTATGAGTGTCACTGTATCAAAAGTGGATCCAATAAATTGAATTGAGTTGTACAGGAATTATTAGCAATGAATGTACGAAGTCAGAACGCATTATTAGAAAAGGCTTTACTTACGTTTCGTAAGTACATATAATGTGGCAGGACTTTGCAGAACCGTCCATTTAATAAGTATTGTTTGAGCAAAGGCTATTGCAATTGTCAAAAGTTTATGATATATTAGTATGAAAAAGGCGCATAGTAGTTTCCATTAAATACCTAAAGTCTTAACCCCAGATATTCTAAAACAGTCACAGAAAATCGACGGATAGCACTTATGTTAATTGCCTAAACTGGAAACCAATATAGCCGATGGTTGTTGTGTTAAATACTTAATACCGAGAAGTTTGAAGTGACATGGAGTGCTGTGTACTGAACGTTTATTTAACTCTATAGAGGGTAACAGTTACCACATGTCTGAAAACAATCAATAATATAAAAAGAGATTTGGTACTAAGTAGTTCCTATGCAACCTGCATAACCATATGTTTGACGGTATTCAAATTCGAATCTAAAACCCCATGCGTCTACTTTATCAAAACTATTGTCTTATATTGGCATCGGTTACTGTAACTATAGTCGGGTTCCAAATCGCATGATGCAAGGGGCATGTTTGGGTAGAATTTGGGATCTAGTTGATTTAAATACTTTGACACGAATTTGGTGGATCCCAAATCAAATTCTTTCATTTAAGGACATAATTTGTATATTCAAAATGGCGTCTATACGATTGAAGGCATTTTTAAGGCATTTATTGCATATTCCAAGGTGATGACGGTAATTACTGGAAGTGCAAACAGTCTTATCTTCGTTAAACATTTAATTCTTTTTGCATTTTAATCACTATAATATTATTATTTCTTATTTAGGACACCTTTATTTACAAGCTCTTTTAAGTTTCCATAATTTTTTTTTGGGTTGTCCTTTTAATCATTTATTATTTTGATTTTGATAAATTATTAAATTTTAAGTTTGAAGTTTGTCAAATATCATCCACTGTTGAATTTCATAAATACAAAAGACGATCAAAAGTAAGCGTTAATTACGTGAGAATGAATAAATTTACGATACCACTGGATTTGATAAAAAAAAAAGTCATGATTTCTGACGATGTTACCGTAGCGAAGATAAGCGTAAAGCGAGAGAACACTATAAATGGGTCTTCAAAACGATGATTGACCACCGTAAACTAACAGCTTACTGCAAAACGTTAGTAACAATACCAAATTTTGATTCAAGAATATCCAAAGAAATAGACTGATCAACAGTGTCAAATTGCCTCTGACAGATCAAAAAGAACAAGAATCTATATATCAGGCTTCCTGTCAAGAGCTTTAATTAAGTTGATGATGCCATACTTAATTTCGTACACATGTAATTATCGTACAGAGACATCAGCTTTAAGAATAACAAATAGTTCATTGAGCACCAGCTTTCTATCACACAGTGAACTTTTTCTTGTAACTGTTACTTCTACAGACACCATGAAAGATGATGACCAAGCATTTTTTTTATCAGCATTCAACACCATTGATATCACATTCCTTAAAAACAAACTGATTTTTGTTTTTTGCTTTCGAGTTGAAAGTATTTATTTAGTTTTAGCTCACTAGAATGCCCCATGTTCATACTAGAAAGAGACACAGGATTTTGTATCTTCCTACGTAGTCTTCTGTATACAAATGACTTATAAAATATCGATTATTTTAAATATATAGAAAACAATACCATTTTAATTTAGAGATAGAGATTGCGAAATAATGTATTAATGAAGATGAAGAAGGCTGTATAATTACTGGGTACTCGTAACACGATTGGGATGCAATTGGAATCTCAAAACTTTAAATTTTAAAT